ATTGAGTCACTGATTATACCCTTTTAATTTAGATTCAAGTTAAAAACTAAAATGAATTCACATTTTAGACGTTAAAATGTTTAATATTTTATAGATATTTATGTTTCACGAGATAATGAGTTCAAATATCTTCATTTTTTCTAATCAAATACTGATCAATGTGATTGATTGTGATTCAGTGTCAATATATTTCTCTGTAACAGATGAAGATGCAGAACTTTTTCTATTATTATTGTTAAATTATTTTAATGCTGTTGATTTTAAGTTTAAATATAAGTAAAAGGCAGATATATAAAATACTTAATTCTGTATAAATAAAGGTTTTATTATCCGAGTGTTTTACTTTATTTAACCTGTTTAAAGTTTAAAGACTTTTACTTTCACAGTGTTAAACAGTAACAGATATTTTTTTACAGCGTTTAAAGTCAGAAAAGTTTATTATAAAGTTTCCAAAGATTAGGATGAACTTTATTTAACTCAATTTAACTTCAATGAACAACAGATACACAATATTTATATATTCTATATATTTAATATAATTTAATATCAGACAGATTAATCAGATTATTTGATCTTCCGTTGATTAAAGAGGGATTTTGGGTGTTAAAGGGTTAAAAGAAATAAACTCTTTATTCTTCTGTTTAATTTAAAATCTTATATAATCTTATATTTATATTATTTTATTCAAAGAACAAACTCAATATTCTTCATATATTTTAAAATTATTGAACTTTTTTTATTTCTTAAATCAATTAACAAAAAAGTTTATTTGTGTTTGTTTTTTAATATATTTTATTTGTTCTTTTAAACATTTTCTACATTTATTATTTTTTGTTCATCACTTTTTATTATTTTATATTTGTTATTTAATTTAAGGATTATTAAAACTGTTTTTTATTGTTTTATTTATCAATATTTTATTAAACATTATTTTATCTCTCTGACGTCCTCCGCTGGCTCCAGAAACTCTGGATCAATTAATATCTTTATCAATTCTTTCTGATTAATTTATGATCATTTCTCTTTTATTGAATTATAATTTTCTGAAGTGAAAAATAAAATAAAACTTTGAGTTATTTTATTTTCTTGAATCTGATCTGATTATTTATAATCAATCAAACACTGAGATTGGAACCTTCAAAATAAAACGTTTATTAGATTTGAACTATTTTCCCGTCAGATCATCCGGATCTTTAATCAAAATAAAACAACGATAAAATAAAAATCAAACATCAGATTATTAATAAAATAATTAAATAAAAACACTGAAGTTAAAATCCCACGTGGGTCTTTATTGATAATAATAATCAAAAGTTCACTCTCAGGATGGAAATCAAATTCAATATTGATCTTTTTTATTAGAAGCTCACAGAAACAGCACGTGATAATTTAAGATGTTTAAATAAAGTTTAATTATTGAAAAGCGAGTGAGCGCGTGAAAGATCAATAAAACAGGAAACGATCAATGAGCACTATATCGATTATTAGTTTAATAATAACTTTCCCATTAAAACTCTGCACATGAGGAGAAAGTGAGGATTGTTTTAATTTAATTTAATTTAATTTAACCGGACACTTTCACGGATTTTCTGATTAAATAAAAACGTTCAAATAAAATAAATAAAAATAATTTTAAAGCTGAAACTAAATTTAACAACGAAACACTGAATTATTATAAAGTTACAGAAATATTACAGGAGATTATTATTATTAATAATAGTGATTAAATATGAGTTATTAAAGTGACTCATGATGTGATCAGTGTGTGTGTGTGTGTGTGGGGGGGGGAATGATCCAACAAATACAAAATAAACCGATAAATACAGTTCTAATAAATAAAGCTGATTGATTGATCAATATATCCACAGTATATCGATATCGATCTATAACTGAACTCTGGAGGTGAAAATATTCCGGATAAAAACAGTAAAATATTATTTTTCTTTCAGAAAACAAATTCATCTTTTATTTCCTCAAACTGTGATTCTCCAATAACTGACCGATAATATAATCGATTATCAATCATAATTCACTAATCAAACACACAGTTTAACTGCTCTCATTCTGCTGCTGCACTGACATTAACAGGCCTGATCAATAATAATGATCGTTTATCAGTTAAAGAGTTCTGTGAATTATAAATAAAATCAATACATTTCTGATATAATAATAAAGATTATTTCTGATTCCTGTTCTTTTATTGAAACTCAGTCAAACTGATGAAATAAAAACTATTTATGGTCATAAAAATGTATAAATGTATAAATATATAAATATAACTAATATTAGAAAGCAAAGGTTTGAATTGATTTCTGATCACTGCTGATCAATAAAACTGTTTAATCTTCATAAAACTGAAATCAAAGCACCAAACCCAGAACGCATAAAAACTAATAAACATCCCAGAATAAGACCCGGACCCCGTCCTGGTCCTCCCGGCTCACCTTGGAAGCGGTGTCCCAGGTACCGGCTCCGGAGCACCCAGGGGTAGAAGCTGAGC